CTGTAAGTATTAGTACTTCTTCATTAGTAGCATTGTTCAGTAATAATGACAAGTCCCTTACTTACCTCCTTGAAACGTTTCTTGCAAACAAATTCCCTTAAATTGAACTGTACCGTATAGCCACATTCGTCTACACACTGACTATGCTGACGATCCAGCAAGCAGAACAGCTCCAAATCACGTTGGTCCACTACCGATGGCACGTCGATACTACCGAATGCCATATGAGCCTGAATAAAGGATAAAGAGTAAATTCTCTGGGACTTATTCAACTCTGTCTGAGGCATGCGCCACGCATTCTACTTCCATTCAACATCGCAATGGCGTATGGAATGCGTGTGCGGCCGACACAATGACCCGCGATGGCCAGCCAATGTGCAAGTCAGTGCTTTTCCCCTCCAGACGGGTCTGATATCAGCTCACGGGCCCGGGAGTGATGGAAGGCTTGATTGGCCAAGGTGGAAATCCGACTCCGTGGCCATGCGTATGCGATAGTGCGCCACTTGCCAATATACATCTCCGTTCTTTGTCATTTATGAGGCTGAAATCCTTTATTCCTACTCTCCTTTCACTTCACTTCATTTCTTTTTTTCCAAGCGTATTTCCTTTTTTACTTAAGCGTTTTGCACTCCCAAAGGTTCATAAACTTGACCTTGCTAACCCTTGAAGTTCATGTTTGCATAGTTTTCTAACGTATATCTTTGTACCCACGGGTCAGGTGTCAATCGCTTCCCACTTGTCACGGCTGATTGAGTTGGTGTGGGCGATCTCATCAGCATCACAGTTGTTTCAAGGAAAAGAATTGGTAGAAATATAGCTCCCAGGCGTAAAAACAAGAAAAATCGAATAAACGTAAGGAGGTTGTTAGAGAAACTCACGTTCACCATATCCATACCAACATTAAGACGTTTATTGCATCGTTCCAAACATCGAGTATCACTTAGCACTTCATCTCTACGAAGTGAATCATCCTCTGAAATTGTCATTCCCAGAAAAAGAAATCAAAAGTGATCAGCAATAAGTGGGATTCATCCGCTTCCTTTTTCTCCAGTCTGACTCTTCTCACTAGCTTCTTCTGGTGCACTGGATGCGTTTCCAGCGCGTTACCTATTATTCTGCCTTACCCAACTAAGGCAGTGGGTAATATTTCGTCTCTAAGAATGGGAGTTTCATGTTTTCTTCTGTGGTATGGGCCCCGTGTGAAAGTGTCCAGGGCACCACATCAACATCAGTGTTCCGAGAATGAGATCCCGAATCTCAAACTCGCCCAGATAAACCAACTCTTCCTTTCCTCTGATGTCCTTTGATACAAGACCCACATTGAATAAAAAGCCTTGACCCGTATTTTGGATAGCCCCCGCAATTCATAGGGTAGGCCTAACACGCCTGGATGGGACTTCGATTCTAAATGGAATTCGGACACGGCTGGGCTCATAATGGAATTGACCGACAGTGAACTCAAATTTTCAGCAAAAAATAAACCAATATATTCTACCACACTGGGATATTTTGGAGGATCTGAAGTTCTGTTCCTTATATTTTTTCCGCTCTTTGATTATCGACGCGCAAGGCACATGGTCGTGGAATAATGGCCAATAAATGACACAATTGTCCCCTCAACTAGACTATCTAGATGAACTTTTTGAGCTTGAAAGTCTGCTTTCGATTATGGGACAGACGCTGTCTGGGACTCTGGGATACATACTACTCTTGACAGAGTTCATTACGAGGTTCTCTGAACTCCTACTTTTGAATGTCCTCCATATTCGTTACTGACTACGGATCTCACTTTTCTTTCGCTAATTTCTTGGTTTTGTTAAATTCACTGGTAGCCCAGATCTCCTACGCCAACCTTGCACTAGGAAGGGAGAGACTTGTACCTTTCTTGCGCATACCGAATAGGGTATGTGTACGAACGTGCGTCCGAGGATTCGCGCGGCAAATTGCGCGGCGAAGTCCGTAATGATTTGAACGACTTTGGCGCCTATCGTTGGGGCCCAAATTCGAAATAGAGTGGATTAGGAGGATCATCTGACCCTACTAAACTACACTACTTCGAGTTTGTGCCCCGAAAATTGGCGCCGCAGTCGTACAAATCGTCACGAACTTCGCCGCGCAAGTTGCCGCGCGCACCCTCGGACGCACGTTCGTACCGTCCCCCTACCGAATATACCACTGTACCTCACCCCGGCCTTGATTTTACTCTAACCAACGGGTACCGGTGTTGGGTGAATGTTTCTCTCTAGCCGCTATTTTACTCAACATGTACTTTGATAGGCTTTACGCAATTTTCTGTACATAGAAAGTAACCCCTGGGATTCTTATCAGTAGAAGTCATTGGGATGAGTCCGGAAGGAAGAGTTTTCTTTGTAGCTCGGCTGGCCAGAAAACGTGCAGAGACCTGGCTACATCAAGCCAAAATTATCTAAAAATGCCTTTCATTGACGCCATGGGTCATAGCAAGAGTTTGAACTTCTAACATGGGAGTTTCTCGAGATTGTACCTCTACAACGTCGTTGAAACTCGTGCACACGGGACAGTCTTTGAGCCTTTCTAATCTGCTATCTGGGCGGTTTTCCGACCTTGCAGGCGGCCAGATATGGTATACAAGGGGACCACAGATCTTTCTGAGTGGGATATTTCATGAGCCATTTTTGTCGTGAATTGTGCCTTTAACATAGGAATCGAATAGCGATTGTGGCTGCCTGAACTAGGAGTATACATTGTACTCGATCTTACCGAGACTCCCCGAGTATGAACCACTTTGACCGTCGCCAAAGAATGAATATCAAACAAATCATTTCCATTGAATTGATCCCTACTTGACCCGCTACGGACGAGGAATAAGAGTCACCTTGATGAAGTTGGATTTGCAATTTGCACGAGAATACTTTTTAATCCTTGTGTAGACGATTGACTGTAACCTTCGTGCTTGGTACCGTCAAGGTGAATAGCTAATATACGAGCCTAAGCAATTAGTAAAGATTGGGCGTTTTCAAAACGTGTTTCGGATCGTTTTCAGATCTAAGCATAAGCCTACGATTCTGAAAGGGAGTCGAATACGGGCGCTTCCCTTCGTCGGGATTGATTAAGGTCGAAAGACTACGTCCTTCATTCTCAATAGAATCATTCAGCAGTGATTAGCTCATCACGCATACTCAGCTGTAATTCCAAGGTGCTTTTCGGTGCTAATATAATATAGTTTGGAGTCAAAACACATGCGTGGCTTAGTTCATGATCAGTCACTCGACCAGGGTTCAATCATCACCAACAGATTCGTCTCCCACCCCATTGTGCTGGATGAATTTTGAAAAGAAAGAGGAAGTATGGATATGATGATGTACCCAAATCGCCTAAAAAGGTAAAATTGAAGAAAAATGAACTTAATAGATCATAGGGGACAGGTAGAGGTGGAACTTCGAGTAAAACTTCGCGATGAATTTGGCCAAGAACAGTAGGAGTCTCAGACGGAAATGTAAAACGTTCTATCAAAACTTTACAAGCAGAGCTCGCGATAAAAATGGTTTTATAGATTAAACCATAGGATGAAATCGAGGTCCCTCTATACCATACATGGCGCTATTGGTTTGGGAACGGCCTAGTTAGGAAGTTAGGCTCAGAGATTGGCTCGTTTGTATCCTTGGACGAGTTCCACCGCCTTTGTAGAGGCTGCACCGGTTGCAAGGAAACCCATGTGGGAAGTTCAAACAACTTGTCATGTCATGACCCATAGCGACGCAGTTCTGTAAGTTCTGGCTTGGCGTAGCCAGTTCTTTGCGCAACTGCAACAACTAAAATCTCGTCCGAATACCCCTTCCATGTTATTTCCGTCATGATAATCTCGTCCAACCTCTGTTTTTACTATTTTTGAGGAGCCATATTTCTCTCGAAATCGGCGAATTCTTTCGCTTTCTTCACTACGGATGAGCTAATCCCAGCCAATACTTCGGCCTTATGAATAAAACGAGTAACCAAAATTATCGTAAACTGTCCTTCAACTTTACCCCCAAGTCCCCCGAAGTTGCTTAGAGTGCTGGTGGTTGGAGAGAAAAAAGTGGTTAGTGTCTCGGACAGAGAAGTCCAGAACCTTGTAATTGGTCTTCAAATACAGCAAAAACTCCTACGAAAGCTCTCCTTCAAAAAATTCTCGATCACGGAGTGATTTCAAGGTTCCTCGCTACAACATTGATAGGTAACTCGGCAGTAAAGCGAAGTAAAATTGGCGTAGTTTCGCTATTGTGCTGTCAATCACAGCAAATCAGGTTCTGTTCACTTATTCAAATGCATCAGTACCTGTTTTCTTGCATACAAAACAACAAATAATTGAGAATTTGGGGCATTCCATTAGCGGACTTCACTCACCTTTTCCGCCTCTACCACTCACATCATCATTATCATAATCAGAATCGTAATCACGTTGGATCCGTGCCAATTGGAAAGCCGACGGGGCTCTGCGTTTTTGTAAATGACGACCTTAACATCTTCGACAATATCCACGCAACCGGTTCTGTCCGACAAAACTCACTTGGGTGAATTTTTCCATAAGTCAATGGAGACAGCAAATTGAACAAAGTAAAGCAACACAGAGCTACCCGCATATTTTTTTCTGTAAAAAGAAAATCATCAGGATGATTCGGATCGCTGAATACTGGAAAGATGCCAAAAACTTTTGCATTCACGAAGGATTCAAGTTTGGGGTGGTTGCAAGTGGGAGAAGTTTTTAAGCGTCAAAATTAATAGCAGGTCCATATGCGGCCTTCGAAATCATTGAAGCGGTTTCTAGGGTATTTTGAGAGGCCCATAGAAGGCTAAGGGGTAATTGGAGAGTGACTGACGAGAAGAATACGGTAGTTATGTTAAAATACTGTAACGATTTGCATTAAATATAAAAATAGCAATGCATAATGCTAGGAGAAAGTCGTCGGGATCGAAGTGTCCGTTCGATAACGTGTGAAAATGCATTAAAAAGAAAGATTTGAGAAGGCGTCGTGGAGACCCCAAAAATCTCTCGCTGACACGTTTTGCCCTTTGTTTTAATCATTGCAAAGGCTAAGAAAAGGGATACACAAGAAGGGAAATCAGCAACGAGCAAACAACAGAGTAAGTAACAGAGGAAATAGTAAAAATTACAATAAAACCTAAACTATTTGTTTACTTGTTTTTTTATTTGTTTACTGCCTATTTACTTTTGAGTGATGGGAATAATGCTAGAGCAACATATCCCTGTCAGGATAGCACGGATTCAGAAGTCTAGTGGAGTTCCGAGAGGTATCGGAAGGTTAGTTCATGAAGGGGGCGGAAGTGATGTAGAAACCAGCGGCACACTACACCACCTCACTACCCCAAATGCATAATCCAGGGATCAGTCGATACTCGACGAACTAACCAGGTCATTTACCTCTGGGGGACCAAATTTGTCTGGGAGGATAAAGACATGGGCTTGTACATCGGCTGGCCACCATAAGTCATTGCATGGGCCACATACCCATTCAAAGCGCCAACTATAAGTCATTGCATGGGCCACATACCCATTCAAAGCGCCAACTCGATTCTAAGAAGAAGGCGAATGTGTGGCGCATCCCAGAAGCGAGATTTGGAAGCGAGCAAGTGGATTAAATGGGCAATTTCAAAAAAGTCTTCCTCGATTGAAGTGTTGAGTGGCTTCTTGGAGGGGACCTAAGGGGGGATAAAAATGACCTCAAAAATCAAAAACGATCAGCAGCTCCTCGTAGGGCTCCCAATTAATAGAGTCTGGTAACATTCACTGTGAACCCTTGGGACAGTATTAAGATTAGGAATGGTCTAGTGGTAATTTGGTATAATCTATTCGGAAATAAATCATCCGTTGGAACTAAAGGAGGTCACTTTCAGGCCTAAGCAATTAAAGTGGCCTCTCTCCTTCCTGCCTAGACACAGAATGAACAAAAAAATCTCATTTCTGGTTTGACAGTTTCTCGTAGCTTTTATAGATAGAAACGGCTGGCTGAGTCTACTAGTAGTCTAACGACGCAACTCAAGTAGTTTACAGAGGAGGGTTAAATGGGAAGGGAAAAAAGCAGTTGACCTCGGTATGTCCGACCTACGACGACAAGACCTTGCGAGGCCATTTGGACAAAAAGTGTTGCTATTTTTACTGATTGAGAGGTGAACTGTTGCGTTCTTTTTGTCCCGGACAAATTACAGTACCAAAAAAGTCTGTCAAATAGAGAGTTGTTTACCTAAGTTGACAGGCAGTTGAAGTTGAGTTGGTGTACCCAATTACTTCGAGGGCTATCAGACCTTCCTGTAGAAGGGAAAGAAGCACAGCCGAAAGAGGGCCCATTAGCTGGGTTTGGCTGTTAAGCTTAATTGGGGGCAGATCTCAGATGGATGGGAGCGATAGTCTTGCATGATTTGTAGGGAACGATCAGTCGGGTGCTTCGGCAGGAATTCGTTCATGTGGCGCCCACCGAAATCTACTCACCCAGCCTGTCTGATACCTCTTTAGGAGCAATTATTGCTACAAATTTACGAATATTACAAGGGCAAAACTTACAAAACACGAGGAGAGTGTCTGGCAAAAGCTTTTGAATGAACTTTTGCTAGCAACTGGAAAAAGAACGGGAATAACATAATGAAGAAGGGCTCCGATTCACATACATCGGCTCCATAGGACCGGTTTCTGTTCCACGTCCATCAAACTTTCTCTTTCAAGGAGGAACTACTCAAAATTGGACCCAAGCATGTTCAAGGAGATGATAGCTTTCTAAACCGTTTAAAAAAGCAGGGAGACTCGTCTCACATGAGAATAAATACAAAAATTATGCTGAAAGAGAACGAAAAGCATAGCGCCGTCCGTATCCACCGGCTAAGGCTGATCAGTTTATCATTTACTGTACTATAACCAAAAAACTTGAGCCGACTGGATCCATAAGGTGACGATGATGGACGCCGTCCTTTAACAAATCGCCGTAAGTAGAAAAAAATAGAAGTGGCAGCCATTTATCATGTAAAAGCCATTCGCTTCCAGTGATGACCTCGATTTTACTTGCACTTGAAATTCCCTTGCTTCGCTTATAGACAAGCCAAGGGAGAATGAATCCTAAATGCCACGGTGTTCGGTTGTTAAATGTAGGGAAACTGCTCTAGGGCAAAGGGAAAGCCTGAGCTGATTCTACCGGTAGCCCTGGTACCAAAATTTATAGAACACCTTTGGCAGCTTATTACAGTATCAGACCAGTCGCAGCAAGTTAATGCATGATTTAGCCCTAATGTGATTTAGAGGGGACCTGGGCATTACTTGAAATTAAGGAAAGAAGCAGTGTCACGTCGGTATGAACAGAATGGCATGAGACAGTAGTATTTCAAGCTTCAATGAAAATTGGTGGAATGGCTTCCACGCAATGTTGGTCCGGTTATCGAATCCTGCCCATGTCATCCAAGCCTTCCATCTTACCAAAATCGGTTAATTGGTGCCAAACCCGTGTGGAAGGCTAATAAGACTGACTTGTACGTCGGCATACCCAAGCAATTCATTGAATAGGAAAAATACGCATTTATAACGCCATTTTAAAAGGAAGTCGAATGCGGTGCGCATCCACCCCAAAAACGGATCGATTAGAGCCAAATACTTAAACAAGGCCTTTATGAAGAAATTCCATTTCATATACCTACTTTCCGGTTGGTGGAGACAAAAATAACCTCTAAACATTAAACGACTGCGGTATTTTGGGACGCTATCCTCAGGCGTTACAGAATTCGCACGCTGTGATTTCTCAAAACCCGTCCAAGTGATTTTGAACTGGAATTGAAGGAATGGCGCACTCCAAATGTTATTGCTTGGGCGATTCATTCTTCGCCTACAGATAGAAAGTGAGGAAATGGAGAAAAAAGTGGAAAAATTGAAAAGGATCTACTTTGATAATTGAAAACAACTGGTTCCCGAATGGCCCGTTCCCATGAAAGAAAACTTACCTATTTTTGGATAGGTAATAATTTCAAAGCAAGATAAAAGCACGACCAGTTCTCTACGGGATCTTATGAATGAATTAGAATGAATAGAAATGGTAGATGAAATGAGTAGCTGCACTGCAAGCGGGTACAGTCTCGGGGTGGCAGATGGCATGTTCTATTTCCTTTTATGAGGTCGCCATCTTGAATATATCCAACAAAAAACGTCTACCAATTAATTGTTTAATGGGGAACGAGGCAGTTATCATTAATGGATGTCATTACCAATAGATCATTACCAATGTGATTAAACTGGTCTTTTCTAGCATAAAACTACTTCAATCTATCCCAATTCTATCGAAATGAATCGCCATTAAAGAGGTACATCACGAAAAACTCGTCCGAAAACGAAAAAGAACGAATGGAATTGTCTGGAACGTTTAAAATCAGTTCTAAAATAGAAAACAAGGAGAGAGAGAGGTGAAACGTCACGGATTTGGGAAGTATTTGCTTTCGGTTAGGGAACTTCCGTGGCGATCATAGGCGATACTTTACTGGGGCCGAAAAGTGACCGGCAAAATCCAAATACGGTTATCTGCAAGTTTCAATCTCGACGACGAAACTTGGTTGAGGGTGAGAAAGTGGTTGACCACCAAGCATGCTGTAATTGCCGGACCTACAGAGGCCGTCATTGTGACCGCGTAAGTAACCATCAAAGAAAGGCTATTCAAACAGAAAAGCGCCTCTCTATTGTAACCGATAGTAGAAATTATAATAGGGGCATGGTTAGGTGCTTATTTACAACCAGTAGCAGGCTTGGGTAAAAAGTGAGCCGCACATGTGCGACCGTGGTGGTGGAGAACCGGAAAGTTGGGCATTCTATTGTGTTGTTTGCAGTCAGTCAGCACATACAGGGTGGTGCTGTGATAAGTAACAAGTATGCAACTCGCTAGATGAATGCGGAATGTATGGACAACATCTGGTTTTTCTTTTCAGTAATGGTGCCGGCCGTAGTGGAGCCTTTTTGGCTTTGGATGCCAACCTGGAATTGATGAAGAAGACCGGTCAACTGGACGTTTATGAATATGCGAAAACGCTTGTCAATTCACGCCAACATCTAATTGATAGCGTTGATCAGTATCAATTCATCTATGAGGCTCTGGCCGAGGTGAGTGAAAGCTTTTGCTGAAGTTTATGGGAGTTTTTCGATTCATTGATCACTTAGAGACCAGTCCTAAACTTTGATAAGCAATCCTAGAAATTCCTCAGAGCTTAGATGTGGCTAGCCAACCTTGAACTGAAAACTTCTCTGAGTGAACTACTAGAAATACAAAAAACAGCATGTATACAAATATCAAAGCTTGGAGGAGAAGTCAAATTTTGCAATTACAAAACTTCGGATAAACATTTAATTCTACCAGAGTGAAGTTTTCACTCACCTGGCTTAGGAAAACAGCCTATTTTTGCACGAATTCTCTTAGAACGTCGAAGAAATTTCGAGACTACGTCGAGGGAATTGTTCAATGAGATCTGGACATGGTTCAGATCTTTTAAATCAGTAGGTCTGTCGAAAATTCTGGATCCAACTTAAATCCGTTTACTTGAGTAATGCTTGCATTCTATAAGTCTAATCCGTGACCAGTAGACTCGCCCGTACCCTTTTAATGAACTATCAGAGTGTACAGTATTTCGTGCTTTACTATTTCCAGTCTTTTTGATACGATATACAGGAACATGCATCACTCCTCTAGACAATTTTCGTTTTCCGAAAAGAGGTTGAAAGGTCACTCGGATTTTCCCAATAATTTCCTTGAAGTCCGTGATTTGCGAATTTTTGCTGTTTATTGTAAGGGTACAGCCTTATGTTCCAGTGAAAACAGAATAAGTGGGGTAGTTCGGAATTCACAGTAAGGAATTTGCAGTAATTTACCAGTTATCAGGAGAATCACTGATACTAATCAAAATACCAATAATTTACTGCGTCGTGCATCTGAATTTGTAGGAGGTTGGGCAAAGCGCGTGACTGAATGGTCTNCCAATGGTTCCACTCTGCTTAACCAACAAATTAACAAATCAGGCATTGGCCACCCTAAGCAGTTGCCAATGATATATGTACTGTGATATATGTAGTGGCTATGAGTCCGTGCAAAAAAGCATCCTTCGAGATCTAACACAGTTATAATCGAAAGTGAGCACGCCTACCATTCATGGTGGGCTACCATTCCTTACCTTTGGTAGTAACCGTACTTCACGGAAGCTCGCGAAACTGGCGAAATCAAAAAGTTGAGGTTCAAAAACAGTTTCTGGTACATGCTGTTCTGGAGCGTTCAGCTATCGCACAGGCCTATGTCAAAATGATTCAAGAAAGAGGACTTTTTCCAACAAAAACCCACTTACCACTTATTTCTTACGGACTTGTCAGATGAAAAACTCTTGTCGGAACTTCAATGCTTTCTACGAAATTACTTCACAAATAGCATCTTTATAATTTACCTAGGATACTGTAAAAATAGGAAAAATAGGACGGAGAAATATATTGGCAAGTGATAACACTATGACACGCATGGTCCGAGGATCTAGTTTCGCAAACACACCTCGGCTAACCAAGCCTTCTCTCCCTCCGGGTCGGTCAGTTAACACCGTACTTGTTTGGGAGGACGAATGTAGGATGAATGAACTGATTTGTACATTAGCTAGGCACCGTTAGGCCAAATACCTATTCAAACACCACCAAGGTACTTAATGGAAGCGGAATGCGGGTGAGCACCCCAGAAAAGGATTGATAAGTGCCTAGGAACTTAGGAACTTGAGACTGTAGAACTGGACAGCAGTCATGCTCAATTTTCAGGCAGTGATGTGCAACGTGCAACCGATTCAAATGCATCAATTAAAGAATCGGAGTTCGATGTATAAAGCGAAGAAGAATCGAGAACTTATGGAGTCACAAGACAACCATGAGAATAAGGTTTGTTCTGTACCGCTAGTTTTCTCGGTTAATTCGAGAGTCCATCGAATAGATGCGACGGGTATGTTGTTTGCCCTGCCCCCAGGCAAAAACACCTGAAATTGCTTATCGTCTAATTCAATCTGAATTTTTTCGTTGCCACTCAAGACCACTCAAGACACTGAGTCGTACCATCAATCGGTCAAGCGGTACTGGAACTGACTGCTCAGATTCATGGCCTAATTTTATGCGTCCTCGTAACCGAGAAACGGCTGCAAACCGCTAAGATAACATCTACAAGCGCCCCCCTGGTTCATCGTTGTTGCTACTACGCGTCAACCACATACGGGCATTGAAGACAGATGGCAGTTTACGGTAACTGAAGAAGAAGCATACTATAGAAGAATATATGAAAACCCTTTTGAAGATGAAATCCGCAGGTGGATGGGTAAGCGATGTGATTGAAGGGTCGCCCAGTGATTCCGCTCTACTTAACAAATAAGTTTTCACACTTGAGAAACCTGACCTCTTTCAGGATAGTAGCCACTGAATCCTCAATATTGAATAGTCTTTTGATAATCAAAACAAACAGACCTAAATAAAAACTTGAAAGCTCAAATTCAGAGGTAATCATTTTTGCCTTTCGAATGTAAATGCCTACCTTACAGTTATTACTACATCTCACGCATCCTCTTCGCATCGGCGACTGCGCAGGAGGCCATCGTCTAGAGAATCGAGGCAAAAATCGTGACGTTATGGTGGTTCCACGTAAGTTCAATTTTTCATTCATACATATTAGGTTGCAACAGTTCAAACTCTCCCGAGATTTTCTGGAAGCTCCCATGGGGTTTTAAGTAAGGGCACTACCCACGCGAATGAGCGTAACATATCCGACTACCCTTTACTTGCTTACCTAACCATATAATTACTCAGATGCGTACCATACGCTTCTTTACCAGTTCGAATCCAGCCTCTCCGCAATCTAGACTCTTTAAACTACTAAGCGGTTCTGTGCACGCTTTGCTCCAACTTTTCACAGCCTGGAGCAAGAGAGTCGAAGCTGAACCTCGATCTGGTCAACCGATTACGATATGACGAAACTCCTGATATGTCATGCCCATACAAGTGCGTAACGTCCTTTTATGGCACCTCTATGGGAGCTTCCAGAGAATTGAGAGAGAGATTTGGAAGTTTTGCTGAGATTTTCGGCAGTTCCCTTCCGAACAGCCAGCAGTTTACTGTCCAGAAAGGGCGAGGCAAAAATGGGAATTTCCGAAATTCTTGGATAATTATTTTGTGAGCGTCCTACATTTTTATTTATTACATACTTTGTATAGTTCATGTGCTTTTTCTGAATCCGGCCTGTTTAGCCGCTCGTGGGCTTTCGCTGGGAAAATAAGCACATTGAACATCAATAGGTTACATAAGAAAAGCAGTTAACTTTTCATGATTCCACTGATTGATTTCATGGGTTTTCAATAACCTTCATGCTTGATCCCGCGTCAACCACGATAGCCTTTTTTCTCTACTCTTTTTTGCTTACGGAGCTATCAATGACAAACCAATAGGTGTTGGGCCAGCCCCGAATCGATCTCATTGAATTTCTTCACAGTCTAATAAGTTAATTGCCTGATCAAAGCCTGTATGGGTGAATTTCCTGACAATAAGTTTCATGTCTTGAAAAGAATTAAACCTTCTGTGGGCTATCGTAGGCTGAGAGGTCATTGCGAGGTTTTTCTGTACTGGACTCAATAAATGCTCCTAATGAATCTGACCCCGTCTGAAATGGGAATGAAAATAAATCGCATTAGGCGANTACGGAGCTATCAATGACAAACCAATAGGTGTTGGGCCAGCCCCGAATCGATCTCATTGAATTTCTTCACAGTCTAATAAGTTAATTGCCTGATCAAAGCCTATATGGGTATTATTTCCTGCCAACAAGTTTCATGTCTTAAAAAGAATTAAACCTTCTGTGAGCTACCGTAGTCTGAGAGGTCATTGCGAGGTTTTTCTGTACTGGACTCAATAAATGCTCCTAATGAATCTGACCCCGTCTGAAATGGGAATGAAAATAAATCGCATTAGGCGATTTTCATCCTTGATATGTCAAAAGACATTAGCAGATGTTATCGTGTATCTCTCACCTCTCTCCCAAAGGGTATGTAAACAGATCGAAATGAAATCAAAATGTTTTGATGCACTTCTGTATGAGTTTCGTAGCGCTGTGGCTTGAAGCGTACCGCGCTTCTGGAGGTTTGGATCCGTCCATGACCATCATAAGCCTCTAGACTCCCATGAAAAAATGATTGTCATCTCGATTTGAGTAGTCGAGAACGTCAGATCATGCTTCAATCACTGACTTCCAAGTATGGGCTCAATTGATTCTACGGTCTTTGCTTCAAATCCCATGCGTGGCGTAGTCCGAGCGAACAAACCGATGCATTTATTCTTTGTGATATTGTCGGCTACTGTCACGCCCAAATTTCGATGCAAGAAAATCTGAATAGTCTTCTTGACGTTGTCACCCGAAAATTGCCCATCCAATTTGATACGAGTTTAAGAGAATTACAGAAAACCTGTCCTATTCACAATAGGACGAGCCTACTCAGAATTAATGGTTTTTATCATTTTGAATGATTGCACAAAATGTCAAATGCAAAATTTAATTGACAGTATTCTATGGAAGACGAATAAATGATGCTTCTGTCGTAAACAAAACTTTTGCAAGGTGACTCCCAAAGGCTGGTGAGGGACGGGTAGAGGGAAAGGTTCCACTGAGGCATATTAACGCCTTGTAAACTCAGCTGTTTTCCATTTCTTACTCATACTCCCTTTACGCCGTACCTTACTTGTTGCGGTTATCATAATGGCATCATGTAGCCAGAAGGAATCAAAATGCAATCGGAACTTAAGCTGCTTTTGCTATTTAACCCCTTATTCTTCGATTTCTGCTCTCTCTTTTTTGATCTTTTCCTTTGTACCAACTTTGTGCCAATCTCCCGTGTCCCCAACTTAGTGTAGACGATACATGCAATATCCTACAAACCGCCCAGCTCGTTACCGAAACTGACCCATGTGTGGGATTCCGATTCTTCGTACAAACTACATACAGACCTTGTCCCAAGAAACTCCTATGAGAATTAAATTCAATCGACTGACCTTGATGGCTCTCGATTGACAGCCAATTACCACAAATTTAGAACCAGTTACAAGGGTAAAAAGAGGTAAAAGGGGAATTGTTCGTGACTGATGTGCGATTCGATAGAACATCAAAGAAAATACCGTTCCGACAATGTAATGCTCAGATTTCGTCACTGAATTATTCGCGACCTTTCTTTCAACTTTAATGAATGAACCAATAAATAATCGGTTAACTTTGGTACGCTACCGATAACCGCTACCGTAGGATTTGTAAAAAGAGAAAGATGAAGTGAGCAAACGCAATCAAAGGGCATCGGCAAGATGATAGGGAAAGGATGCTACTCGAGTAACGGACTGATATAATTTTGATTGAAAAAAGTTAGCAGATCCCTATGATTTGGCTTCCTTATTCGGAAGGATCCTTAAGGATCCTCAGGAATCTCAAAACAAATCAAAATAATGAAAGTTTATTTTGTGTGTATTTCCGCAGATGCTTCAAAGACGCAGTTCACGATAAAAATGGTTTTGGAGATTCCCCTGTAGGCTGATTTCGAGAGATGTTAGGCTGGGAAACGTCCTAGATAGGGCGTTACATGGGCTGTATTGTCGGAATTGTTCCCCGCGCATCGTCGGACGAGTTTCACCGGCTTTGTAGAAGCTGTACCCTTCACAAAGGATTTCAGTGTTGTCCTTGTCTGTCCAATGGAACCCCCACCACCCCCGTAGGCTTCACCCGGGATGTTTTTCTCTGTGCTCTAGCCTCTTGCTGTCAGGGACGCAGAGGAAGCTCAAGTAGTCACGTAACCCTATGTTCCCTACTTTTAAGGATCTATATTTCTCGAATTAGCGAATTTTCCCACTCTCTCCACAACCGATGGACTACTGCCAACTTGACGGATGAACTATTCCCAACCTATACTTCCGCTTCTCAACCAGAAAGAGGACCTTAAAGTTATTGTGAACTGTGCCTTTAATTGATTCAAATCTTACAATACCGTTCTCGGAACTACGTGGCTTGTGAATAACAGACAAATCAAATGCTGACTCCTTGAAGAAAGGGAGACATCCTTTTTACATGCTTGGTTATGTGAGCCATGTTCTTATTCAATGCTGGAGCCTTTCCCCTCGGTAGCCAGTGAAGTTGTAGGGTGAGAGAGTATCTTTATAATAATATAACGGTATTACTGAATAATTCCAAACGATTTGTAAGTTTACTTTACCAAGAAAAGTTCACCTTCACTCCTCACGTTCAATCACTTAGCAGAACCAAAAATTCACTATGAGAAGTCCGTTTATGCTGTGGCCCGGCTCTGATACTTATTAGATCACATGAAGGCTTCCCTTCTTAAAGTCGCCTTCAAACTTGCTCAGCAGCTTCTTCAGCAGTCATACATACTTTCATCTGGCTCTTCACCAATGAACTGAATTTTCAGCCGATCACGCTCGACCGTACCTTCAGACTCTGCACGGTGAAAGCAAAGACTATACATATATCAATGCGGTGGAAGTGAGTTTCTAAAGCCTCATATGTCGGTCATATATTTCTTATTACTTTTATTATTTTGACTAATGCCATACCAGTGTACACTGAATAGAAGTCGGATGTGGGGAGGTATTCAAAAAGGGATCGGTGTTTTATTTACAGGTGGATGGTTTTACTAGGAAAGCGGAGTTTATAGTGACGGAATGGCCGAAACAGAGTACAATCGACTCATTCTGGACGCTCATTTACGATCATTCCTGTCATACCGTCGTCAATTTGAGCAATCAGGGAAATCCTCGGGTATTTTTTCATCACCTGGTCAGAGGGTTCTGATTTCATGAAAATGTGTTCTGACTTAACTGTTAGGATCTTATGAAATATTTTTAGCAATATCCGACATTTATACACAACAAAGGCAAAGCAAATTATGGTCCATTCATTGTGGAAGTCATCAACTACCATCAATATCCAGCGATGACATCACATATGGTCAAAGTGATGAAAAGGGTTAGTGCTTTCTATCTATTCATCCCTGCCTTCACTACTGCTTTTAGGAACCCACTCGAGAAGACCTTAGGGCATCATCAGCGCCGCTTTTATTCCCAGATACGTAGCACATTGACGCTAGGGAAGATTTCCAGTGACAAACTTCGGGGAAGCAGCAGCAAAAGGAGAAACGCTATAGACTAGAACTCATCTGTGCTGCGTACCCGAGGGAAGACAATTTGGGCGATTTTGTCGCATTTGACCATTTCCTTTTCAAATAAAGCGACTGTGGGTGGCTCCTGGTGGGGCAGCAGTAAGGGCGTCATTTGATTGAGTGGGCGTACTCTTTAAGATCGCTGCGCTGTCCCCATTGGTGCGTTTCTAGCCAGCCAATGAAGAGGGAATGTTTCGTAGGAGAAAGCGAATGGTCTTATGGGCCATATGCCCGTTGCCCCACATGTTTACCGTATAGCAGTCTTTAACCGCCATCGATCTTCATGCCCCCTTTTGCAAAGGGCCAAAAAATTGTACATTTAGGTCTGAATGCTGTAGTATTACGTACTAGCCGTGAATAATCTACTTGTAGCCCTATACAAAGCTCATGTCCTGCAGCCTAATACCTCCCGTCAGCTATGTGCACCCCATTATGCTTATCGTCTCATAGTACAATAGCGTTAGAAACGATTTTCTGCTTTAATGCCTATGCTTACGTAATACTGTTGTGATGCAGATGTGCTCACCTAATTCCTCTCCCCGTGGCAAGAAACGGCCAACGAGGCCCGAATTGAAACTACGGCAAGAGGAAACACAGAGGAATGGAATGCCAGCTGGGGAGTCGTTCCGTCTAAAACCGGAATACCGTGGACGACTTCGTGGTGTCAACGGTGACACTGACTATCGTGCCGCCACTCCTGTACCCTCACAAGAACATTCGGCAACCAATCGACTTCATCCATCACGACAACGTATCTCACGATCCGCAGGTGCAGCTCAGGATCGGGACCCCTACAGTGAGGTGCGCGCTTCCCACAGCGTGCGGTTATCTCCCTCATTATTACCCTCCCCCTGTTCCTTCTGATTCAGTTACTCTCACCTGGATTTTAGTATGAGTAGTCCATGGTGAGAAAACTCCTTTGTGAGTCTGTGAGTGCGTTCGATGTTGTGACAACGTGGTTCTTGTTCAGAGGGGTGCTGCTGACATTACCCGACTTTTGAATATTCGACGTGGGAAGGCCGATTTGCAAAAGGAGAGCACGAAGCAAATTCAGAAACTGGTGTGTCGTTGAGCCCTCCGTGTGTCTACTTTTTCACATGTACACTGTTCAGTATCGCTCTTCTTATGCTTCTCCTGTTAATCGCATGAGCTTATCAGTTTGGTTTCCCTTGTTAATGCTGAGCTAATGCCTTTCCCTACTTGGTGAATGTTGTTCGGATCTTGCGTATTTCAAAGACAAGGCTTTCCAGACGTTCATGATTTCGGATATCATGTCAAACGCTGCAAGCAATCAACAGATAGATACGGAAGTTCGGATTTGCTGCGTCATTCAGGTGAGTTCATTTAACTGTTCAATACCCGGCTCAGATTTATTGTAATAGATCTGAAATAATACCAGTAGTGCTTCCGCAAGACGTCTCTCGGACGATAACTACCTCTTGCTCTTTCCATCCTTCCTCTTTGTACCTTCTGGGGCGTGCCGCCTCGAACTCAATACCCGCTATTCTTAGCTCGCCTCATATTCAGCCAGTTTCAGTCTGATTCTGAATGGGATATGTAGCCTAGGGACGTAGCAAGATTATTACATTCGGGTCCATCGCTCGATAAACTTCCCTGGTTAGGACTGGCTCTCATACCCACTCCCCCTACCCCTCTTCCGCTCAAGCAGAACGCACTTTTTACCCTCGCCCGAGGAAAATCACTGCCTTGTACAGCTGACCACCCAACTTCATTGCTTAGGCCATATATGCACTGAAGGGCCATTATGATTCTGAATCGTAGCGGTCTGAGGGTAGGAAGGGTAGGAGGAGGGGGGGGGGGATGGGGGAGCGTACCGTCCTTTATCAGATCCTAATTAGGCAACCTCATCAACCAGCTCACCCCTTTTAGAAGAAGTTCGATATTTACCACTACTGAACTCGTTCATATTTTGCTGAGCCGGATAGTTTCTTCTCTGGGAAGAGACCGAAAGTATATTTCTAGGTGAGGATGTGGCCCATTGAGAATAAGGTGCCATTGTCTACCACGGGTCTCATGGATGTCATCAAAATGGCCCGAAGTTGGCGACGGCGAGCTCCTGATCGACCAGAAAGCAAACCAACGATAGTGATGTCTCAGTCAGTTTTGTTTGAGAGCACATATGACTAATGTTAATTTGTTCTGGAAGGAAATGCTGCTTACAGTAATGGAGTTTCTCGGGTCGGGGTGTATATTGGAGCCAATATATGTATCGACCAAATGGACACGGATCATGAAGTTGATGTGTTTCATGCGGTGAAAATGATGCGAATCAATCGACCGCAGCTCATCGATATGAAGGTTTGTTTATACCTATTCTGATGGGCATCTATAAAACCTATTATGGGCCGATTGAAAAAAAACAGTCCTCTCCGAAGAGCCAATTCGGGTCTGACGCCCGTTATCAAGTAGTTCCCAGACCTAGCAACTGACTCCAGCATGTTTTGCCGCTCAATACTTCACTACAGGGGACTAAATTATTCAAGAAAGACTAGGTTTCTATGGGTGAACTCAAGTGGGTTCTCTCCAGGTTCCTTAAATCTGCGACCTTTCTGAGTCAGAGCTCTAATAAAAACGAAAAGTTTGGGAAGATCGCGTGGAAAACTAAACCGGGTCAGCGGATGGCACGAGCCCTCTCGATGAGTTCAGTCTATCCACTCCTCTGACCTGGGTTTCCTTGTTGTCAAGAATCCATAAAGACAAGCACGCTCTTATAACGACTTAATAGGAGTCTAAGGGCTTATTGAAGTTGACCTAGAGGAATATAGGTAGCCAACACTCTCAGAAGACCCCTGGGCTGCTGTATAGTAACTAGTACCGTTTGCCTGAATCAGTTACATTGTGTTACCTAAATATACATTTGATGCTCTCTTACTTACATTCAAAATAAAGTGTCTATGAGCAAAGAACGAGCAAAGGGTCCCTTTAAAAGGATGCGATCTGGCCCCGTCTTAGGAAGCGTGCCCTGCCTTTTTATTCCGTATCGGTTTACAGCATGTCTCGAATTTCTGGGACGTTTTGTGGATTCATTTGTTAGCTTTTCAGGACGAATACAAATATCTATACGATTTGATGCTGCATTGGTACATGACAAATCCGGAGTACCGTGTCCACGACAAGGACATTTCTGACGACGAAAGCGGTGGCGGCGGTGGCGGTGGCGGTGGAGGTGGTGGCTCAAAGCCTCCCTCACAGCGACAGTCACTTCGGGACAAAGATCGTTTTCTGCGAGGACAGAATTCGATACGTAAAGATTCTCGTAAAAATGCAGAAAACTCCTAACTAACTGGTCACATTGTCGCTCAGGTCCCAGGATAGGATATTTAGCCTAGGGGGACGTAGCATGCATGTATCCACTCAACAGTAGAACAGCATCAACAACACTGTACCTATACATTTTCCATTGAGATCTTTCCTTCATCGTGCTTTTTTCCCTATATATATTCTTATATAAAATCAGATGAGTCAGGTATTAAATGCGGTACGGGTCTTTCTCAGAAGCCACTAGACTTATCTGCTCATCGATTCCTAGTCAGTTGTGCCTATTTACGAATAGTATCTAAAATGATATAATAAATTTCTATTTATAAACAGCGACACATATCATATTTGTTATTAGTTCTAGTATATTTGGGAAATTTTTTTGTTCATTTATATTCCATAGGATTCATAGAGGATATGTATGTATGTTGTTCGATGATGAGAACGTTTATAGTTTAGTAGTCTGACGTGACGTCGTCGTCGTCGATCGGTCGACCTCTACGTGCTACGACCAGATCCTCTCTCATTTAGGTATCAGTTCTCTCAGATAATGCACTTCTTAGGGAGCCTTTTCTGTGGCCTTCTATGAAACACACATATTGTACATTGTGTTATTCCAACGCTTCCACTGTGATTTCCGATATTTCATTTATGCAACTGAATAAATACAATTTGTTTACACCTGGGTTTTCATACAAACCGTCGAATCTCTTCAGGTAACAACGGTCGAGCTTTTGCCATAAAGTTGTCCCTTGACAGGTAGCATCCACACATTTGCCGCCATCCCTGAATTAGAAGCATTATATACCGCTTGAGAAGCAGCTCCCACTGCAAAAATTGGCCTAAAGGCACAGTTCAAAATAATTTTGAGGTGCCCGTTTTTATTCGAGAAGCGGAAGTATAGATTGGGAATAGTTCATAGGTAGTGAAGAAAGCGAGAAAATTTGCCGATTTCGAGAAAAA